GGTGCACACCCAACTGTGTGRTTTGGGGGTCTGTACCCCACAGATCCATAGTTTTGGGGGGTGCTGTGCACTGAGGGAGCACCCTCCAGACCCCGAGGGCRGCARGGTGRGGTRGGCTGTGTGTCACTGTCACCRGGTGGGTTTGTTGGGWGCCCAGAGCCATGGGGTGTGTGGGRTTTAKGGTCCCAGGGCATTAGGGGATGCAGGTTTTGGGGTGCTCTGCATGTGTGGGTTGGGGAGGGGGAAACGCCCCTGTGAGCCCCCATGCCAAGGTGGACACTACTGATGGGATGGACAGCACATGGCCTGAGCCAGGGCGAGGGTCCCCAGGGTGCCTGGAGGGGTGGGAAGGGTCCAGGATTTCGGGGGGGTAAAGGATTCCCATCCCATTTGGCAGCGGGGCTGGGGTGGTGGGGGAGAGKCTGCGAAAATGGGGTGCAAAGGGGGTACCCCGGCTCTCCAGCGACAGGGCCAGGCTTGTCCCAGGCAGGCTGGTGGGACGTGTCACCAAGGAGGGCACAGGAGGCTCAGAGTATTCGCTGAGCCCCCCAAAAGTGGGTGGGGGAACGTGTCCCCAAAAAGGAACACAGGGGGCTCAGAGACCCCGCTGAGCCCCCTAGGATGGGTGGGGGGACGTGTCCCCAAGGAGGCAAACGGGATGCAGAGACACTGCTGAGCTCCCCAGGGATGGGTGAGGACATGTCCCCAAAAAGGGAGACATGTCCCCAAAAAGGAACACAGGCGGCTCAGAGACCCCACTGAGCCCCCAGGGATGGGTGGGGGGATGTGTCCCCAATGAGGGGCACAGGGGGTACAGAGACCCGGCTGAGCCCCCAAGGGATTGCTGAGAACACGTCCCCAAAAAGGGGGACACGTCCCCAAAAAGGAACACAGGCGGCTGGTGGGGTGTGTCCCCAAGGAGGGGCACAGGGGGTACCGAGACCCCACTGAGCCCCCTGGGATGGGTGGTGGGATGTGGCCCCAATGAGGGGTCCAGGAGCCTCAGAAACCCCATTGAGCCCCCCAGGGATGGGTGCTGCAGGCTGGGACCTCCCCCCAGCAGCTTTGGGGCTCTGCAGCCGGCCCGGGCTTTGTGTGAYGTTCCTTGCAGCCCCTCCCGCTTCCCAAAGCTCTTCCCAAACCGCGGCGAGGCTTTGTGTGCGTGCCAGAGGTGCTGGAGGCAGCGCGGAGGCAGCGCCCAGAGATTCCCATTGTGAGCGTCTCTCGCTGTCGGTGGGAGCCGCTCACGGCAGCGCCGTTGCTTAGCAAAGCATCCATCCCATCCCATCCCATCCCGGCCGGGAACGCGCCCGCCTCACCTGGGATGCGGGAATTCCTCCGGGCACGGRCAGAGAGGACACTCAATAATTAAGAAAAAGCGCTGGATGGGGTTTTCCAACCCGGGAGGGGTGCCCGGGGGCGATGTGTAATTGGAAAGATGATCTAGGCAGTCATCTGTCTGCAGCTGAGCGTGATCGGGCTSTAATTCTCGTGAAGGGCAGAGGATTTGCTCTTCTTTCACCGGCATTCCTAGAATCCACGGCGAGGAACGGCCTGGCCTATTTAACGGAAAGCATATGATGTTATTTAGTGGGATTAAGAGGTTTGAGGGATCCCGATTTCCCGTGGGGGGATGCTGAGATGAGGCAGSAGAGGCGCTGGGTCGGTGCTGACGGGGTTCTCCTCCTCCGTGGGTGCTGCCCAGAGGTGGGCACACCTCAAACACCACGGGAAAACAGCCCAGAGGATCTAACAGGTACAATTTCCTCCCCTTTACCTGGGGATGCACCCCAGGGTGCCGGGCAGCTTCTCGAGATTGCCTTCTTGCAGTGCAAAAACAAAGAAATAAGTCTGCACCCAACCTGTCACCCTGTGATTCACTTTGAGGATTTGGGGTTTTGCTCTTGGGAGGTGTTGCTGGTGCTCCAGGGTGGGTTTGTATTTGGGGTTTTGCTCTTGGGAGGTGTTGCTGGTGCTCTAAGGTGGGTTCATATTTGGGGTTTTGCTCTTGGGAGGTGTTGCTGGTGCTCCAGGGTAGGTTCATGGGAGCATCCACAGTGCCAGGTTTTTGGCTGGGGTGGGATGAGGGGCCCAGAGTGAGGATGTGTGGGGTCTGTGCCAGGCAGCCTGTTGCATTTCACCACTCAGATCCTGCTCCTCATCCCAGCCCCATCCCCAGAGGCAGCCGAGTCCAGCACTGTCACAAATCACGGAAGACAAATGTCACCGAGAAACTCGGGATGCAGCTGCTTGCTTCAGCGACTTTCATAGTTAAGCATAAATTTATCCCACTGGAAAGCATTTTTTTTCCAGGACGAGGTGATCCGTGGCACTTCCCCAAATCCCCAGGCTGTTGGGGGATATGGAGGCAGCGAGGAAAGGAGCTGGCAGCACCCACACGTGCTCTCAGTCACGCAGCAGGAGCRCAGCCGCCTGCTCTGCCCTTTGAGATCGCTCCGGTTCCCTTATCACCGCCSGGCCCCGCCCTGCTCCCGCCACCCCGCACCCACTTTGTCCCAAAACGCCTCTTTTTTTTCTCGGATTCACCTGCCCGCACCGGGCTGGGAAGTTTTAGGGGCGATCCCGCTGGAGAGGAGCGGAAYCGCAGCGCCTTTGTGCGGTGCCGTGGCTGACCCTCGGTGTGACCCTGAGCCACCCAGCCCCGCTCGCCCAGGTCCTGGCAGAGCCTTTTGCTCGTCAGAGACATCAGCGCTGTGCTGTGCAGCATCCTGCCCTTCCCTCACCCCCCGGGAATCGATCCCCCGGGAATTGATCCCTCGGGAATCGATCAAACACCCAGCCCGAGCTCAGGAATTGTCCGGAGTTCGGGASTGTTGGTGCTCCCAGGGATGCRCAGGRTGGGRTTGTTGGAGTGTCCTGTGCAGGGCCAGGAGTTGGACTCYATGGTCCTTGTGAATCCMGTCCAAWTTCAGGATATTTTAGGATTCAGTCGTCCAAATTCAGGATATTTTAGGATTCAGTGAAGCTGCCAGGTTCTGCTCCGTCTCCCACCCCAGGACAGCCCTCCCGAGGCCGGTGCGGTGCCGGCGGGCGCGGGGCGATCCCATTCCTCCTCCCGATGGGTGACACATCATTTTGCCCCTGGCTCTGGGGTCACACTGGCTGTCACACACTTTCCACATCCCTCCAAACGTGGATGACACAGCCGAGGCAGCCTCAGCGCGAGCAGCGCGGGAGAGAGATGCTGACAGCGATTTTCCACTCCATTTTTGGTACCAAATGTGCAATTAGGTGATGGAGGCAGAGCGGGCAGCGGCCCCAGCGATGCCATCGGAACCCGGCAGYTCCTCTGTGCCCTGGGGCTCGTTTYTAGCCCGAGGTTTCCGTGCGGGAAGGATGGGAACCAGCTGGGGATGATGTGTCAGGCGGAGGGGGGTCGGAGTGGCGCAAGATGGTTGTGGGAGCCGAGGGTGGAGCGCCGCGGAAACAGGAAACGTCGGCCTCGCTCTGTGTCACCGTTACTGGAACTTGCTGMGCTCAAGGTTTGTTTTCACTCCCAAAACGAAACCGAGGGAGAAAAAGGGGACGAAAAGGGGAGCGCCTTGTCCCCAAGACACCGATGCATGTGTGTCCTGGTCCCTGTGGCAGCGCTGGCAGGGAARCAGTGCTGGAGTTGGCAGCTCTTTGCAGCCCTCCTGCTTCCCAAAGCTCTTACTGTGCCCCTGCGGTGCTGGGGCACGGCTCTCACGCTGCCTCAGTTTCCCATCCGGCAGCTGTGGGTGCTGGGCTGTGAGTTTGCAGCTCGAATTGGGGTTCAAGCTTTTGTTTGAGTGAGAAAACCAAACAGCAAAGGCAGGAAGGAGAGTGGGGTTAGATGGGATATTGGGAAGGGATTCTTCCCTGTGAGAGTGGTGAGGAGCTGGGATGGAATTCCAGAGCAGCTGTGGCTGCCCCTGGATCCCTGGCAGTGCCCAAGGCCAGGCTGGACATTGGGGCTGGGAGCAGCCTGGGACGGTGGGAGGTGTCCCTGCTCTGTCCACATGTGTGGAGCTCTGTCCATTTGTGTGGAGCTCTGTCCACTCCTGTAGGGCTCTGACCACAGGTGTGGAGCTCTGACTATGCATGTGTAGCTCTGACCATGTGCGTGGAGCTCTGTCCACTTGTGTAGAGCTCTGAACACACATGTGGAGCTCTGTCCATGTGTTTGGAGTTCTGACCATTTGTGCGGAGCTCTGACCACTGGTGTAGAGTTCTGTCTATGCCTGTGGAGCTCTGTCCCTGTGTGTGGGGCTCTGTCCACTTGTGTAGAGCTCTGGCCACACATGTGAAGCTCTGTCCACTTGTGTGGAGCTCTGTCCATGCCTGTGGAGCTCTGTCCATGTGTGTGGAACTCTGTCCACTCCTGTAGAGCTCTGACCACACATGTGGAGCTCTGTCCGTGTGTTTGGGGTTCTGACCATTTGTATGGAGCTCTGACCACTGGTCTAGAGTTCTGTCCATGCCTGTGGAGCTCTGATCACCTGTGTAGAGCTCTGTCCACTCGTGTAGAGCTCTGTCCATGTGTGTGGAGCTCTGTTTATGCGTGTGGAGCTCTGTCCATGCGTGTGGAGCTCTGTCCACTTGTGTAGAGCTCTGTCCACTTGTGTGGAGCTCTGTCCATATTTACAGAGCTCTGTCCACTGGTGTAGAGTTCTGTCCATGCCTGTGGAGCTCTGTTTATGCCTGTGGAGCTCTGTCCATGCGTGTGGAGCTCTGATCACCTGTGTAGAGCTCTGTCCACTTGTGTGGAGCTCCGTCCATATTTACAGAGCTTTGTCCACTCGTGTAGAGCCCTGACCATCCGTGTGGATCTCTGACCACTCCTCACTGGCATTGCCCACCCATCCCCATGGTGGCACCTGTTGTGCCACACCGTCCTTCCCACCCTGGATGAGACACACCTGCTGCTCASTTCTATTTTTGGGATCTTTGGAGAATCCCTTCTCTTCCAGTTCATCCCCAGGGTGCCGTGGGTGTTTGTGGCCGTGGTGCGGTGTTTTAACGATGTCCTTTAATTAGCAGCATCTGTGTGGGTTCCTGTTCCCAGCCTGCTGAGGAAATTCGGTGTCTTTTGCAGAATCTGCAGCCGGAGGAAGCGGAAATGGAGGAAGGGGAGGGTTGTCCTCGTGCTCGAGCTTCTGCTCSGGGCCGTGGGGATTTGCAGTTTCCTCTTGGCAGAGCGAAGGAGAACTGAAATGAGCCCACTGAAATGGGGTTGAAATGTGGGAGTGGGGTACGACAGGAGTGGGGCTGCAGCAGTGGGGATTTTGGAGGAATTTTCAGGGCAGCTGAGAGGAAAAATGAAATTTCTGTGAGGATTGTGAGGGTGGGAACCGAGATGGGGATAGGAAGACCCAGCTCTTGTTGGATGTGCCCCTGCAGAGCTGATCTGGGGGTGCTGGGCTGTGGTTCCAGGATGGGATTTTGGGGCAGTTTTGGGKTGTCAGGGTGCTGCTTTTCMCCTGGTGCTGGTGCACGTGGCTCCCTCCTGCTGCCGAGAGAAAATTTCCACAAATTCCTGCAAAATCTCAGGAGGCTGGGACCGTCCTCTGTGCTGTGATGTGGGGMCCATAAAGTGTAGGGGGATTTGCAGGATTTATAGGGGCATTTTCCATGCGATGGAGCAAGCGGGGTTGTGGCCTCTTGGCATTTCCATCTTCCTCCTTTTACATCCCTTTTTCTATTCCTGCCCTGGGGGCCATTGCCCAAGGGGCCTCCTGCCTCTGCCAAAATGAGAAGTGGGGCCTTGGCGAGACGGTTCTTTGTTAAAAATAATAAAAATAAAAATAACCCCGTCCTCCCATCTCTGTCTGGGGATGGATCTTCCCCGTGGCAGGAGATCTGCAATCAGTGGGGTGGCAGAAATGTTCCCTGGCGCAGGAATTCACCCACGAGCAGCTCCTCACGTGCCTGAGCCCTTCCAGCTCTGGCTGTGATTGATTAATTAATTAACTTATTAATAATTTATGTRTGATATATAATGAATTAATTCCCTCTTTTCCCTCCCCAGTTGCCGAAGCAGCAATAGGAAGAGTTTAGTGGTGGGCACCCCCTCCCCGACCCTCTCACGGCCTCTCTCCCCGCTCTCYGTGCCAACAGGTAAGGGATCATCCTGGTGGAGGGGTTCAGCATCTCCCTAAATGCTATTTTGGGATTTTTGACTATTTTGGAGAGCTTCAACCCCCTGTGAGCAGCAGCGGGCCAGCTCCTGGCTGCCTTTTCCAGGGGAAATATCTTGGGAAGTGATTCAAACACTCTTTCCCCTGAAGGAGCAGCCCTCAGCAGCCCCAACATTGTTTTGGGGTGGGTTTGGGATGACTTTTCCCACTTTCTCCCCCCGACATTGTGCTGGGGTGGGGTTTTGGGGTGATTTTTCCTCCTTTCTCCCCCTGGCATTGTTCTGGGGTGAGGTTTGGGGTGATTTTTCCTCCTTTCTCCCCCTGCCTTTGTACTGGGGTGGGTTTTTGGGGTGACTTTCCCCCTTTCTCTCCCTGCCATTGTTCTGGGGTGGGGTTTTGGGATAAATTTTCCCCTTTCTCCCCACAGCTGCCAGCAGTCCCTTGGACAGCCCACGCAATTTCTCTGCCAGCACCTCCCTCAACTTCCCCTTCGCTCGCAGGTGAGCCCCCAGCCCCAGCCCAGTGAATATTTATTTTATTTAAAGACTATTCCCCCACCAGGGAACCCTTCTGTTGACCTCAAGTGACTTTTTGGTTTTATTTTCGCTTTTCCTCTCCCTGCTTTCTGGCCTGATGGTGTTTTCTCTGGTTCCTCCCACCACCCCAGCCATGCTCCTCGGACTGACAGGTGAGTACCAGTGATGGGCAGGGGCTGCATTTTGGGGGGATTTTCTGCTCCACATCATCAGGGACCTTCTTTTCTGAGTGTCCAAGGCTGAAATGAGCAGGGCTTGGAGCAATCAGTGGAAAGTGTCCTGGGACTGCATCTTTGAGATCATTTCCCACCAGCCCACCCAGGACTCTGTGATTCTTTGTTTTCATCCCTGGGTGGGGAATTCTGCCCCAGGACTGGGCTTGCTGCAGCTCTGGGAGCAGGAATATCCCCATTCCCATCACAGCACCCCTGGCCACGCTCTCAGCCTCTCTGATTCTCAGAAAATGTCCAGGGATGGATGCTCCTCATCCAGCTCCCCACCGAGGCAAATCCTGCTGCATCCCTTCCCAAACTCACTCACCAAAGCCCTGTTTAACTAATTAATGAATGAATTAATCGCGGGCGGGTGCCCATCGATCGTCACAYGGAAAAACACCGGAGGCTCCCAGGGAACAGCCCGGGTGTGGGGTCAGGAGTTTGCTGGAGCTGGACGTGGCTCCCTGCCAGCCCCTGCTGTCCTTGACCCCGCACGGGAAGGGCCCCGTGGTGACCTGGACGTGTCCCCATCCCTCGGAAGCGTCTCCAAGGGGAAGCATTTGCCTGTGTGTGAGCGGTTCCCTTCCTGTTTATGGCCGGGCTCCGCTCCCCGGCGCCTGCTGTCTCAGGATGAGCCTTTGGGAGCCCTGATAAAACTCCCAGCAGGCTGAATTTAATTAAAAATCAGAGTCTCGCAGGCGTTTTTTGGTTTTTGTGGTTTTATTTTGTTTTGTTTTGTCCTGTCTGAAATGGATTTGTTGGAGCCCCAGTGCTGTCCCATCACAGTGACACTCCTGGCTGCTGGAGGCTGCAGAACAGCCAACCTCTCACCTGCAAACCCCTTATTTCACCTGATTTCAGCCCATTCTGAAAAGAGATTTCAGAGCTTTATTCCTCAAGCCACGCTTATTTCCCATTCTCCAGCCTTTTGGCTCTTCTGTTGCTGCTTCGACCTGCAAACCCCTTATTTCACCCGATTTTCCCCATTCTGTAAAGAGGTTTCAGGGCTTTATCCCTCAAATCACGCCTGTGTCCCGTTCCCCAGCCTTTTGGCTCTGTTGTTACTGATTTGACCTGCAAAACTCCTTATTTCACCCGATTTTCCCCATTCTGAAAAGAGTTTTCAGGGCTTTATTCTTCAACCATGCTTGTGTCCTGCTCCACAGCCTTTTGGCTCTGCTGTTACAGATTTGACCTGCAAAACTCCTTATTTCACCCGATTTTCCCCATTCTGAAAAGAGGTTTCAGGGCTTTATCTCTCAAATCACGCCTGTGTCCCATTCCCCAAACTTCTGGCTCTGCTGTTTTTGATTTGCATTCAGATATCGGGTTTTTTTCCCTGTGTGTGATGGTCACGTTTGTGGTCACAGGGCTGATGGCAGAAGGTGGTCACTGGCTTCGTTACCCTCCTCTGGCTATGGGACCAACACCCCCAGCTCCACGGTCTCGGTAATGTTTGCTTTCTCATGGTGGTGGGTGATAAAATCCTAAAATCCMAAGTTTTGGTGAAATGCCTCCCAAACCCCACAGTGCCGGTTCCTAAAGGAGCTTTAGCTGCATCCTGCTTGCTAAATGAGCTTTTAGGGAGGTTGTAGGGCTTGGCTGGGGGGTGGAAGAGTCC